TATATATATGACATTCAGAGCTCGGATTATTTTCATATCTGGCAGCCAGGTAAATATTCTGGTCGCCAGAAAAAACACCAAATTTATAAGGGATTATGGCACTCGGAAACTCTCGAACACTGGAATAATCCAACGAGCCAAAAGAAACTGATTCTGACGCCATAACTCTCAGCAGTAGCAAATGGTAGCGGGTAAATATCGTGCAGAACTGCATGGGATATCAGCCGTGAAGTGAAATGTTATGGTATACATCTTTGGTTCTCATCCAATAACTCAGCAGTGTCAGTTTACCAGGAACACTCCTAGTGAGAGGTTTGCATATCAGTTCTGTGCCACCTGCGGCTTAGTTACTTCATTTCTACAACAAACTGAGTGCCCACGTCTTAGAGCCAAATAATAATGCTATGAGGCCAAGAGTAGTCCCCATTATGAAAAATAAATTGAAAATGACTGTTGATTCTGAAGATGGCAAACAAGCAGTCAGTATCAGATGTGAACAATACTGCCTGTACCAGTAAAAACAACTGTAGCTTATGAAAATATAAGAATGTTACAAAATTAGCAGTGCCTGGCCAAATTAAATATTAGAGAACCAGAGACAATTTTTTTTTTTGAGAAGTTTATTACTGATTTGGATTTTTGAAAATATTAAGGGTAGTCTTCATTGGTGTATATTTTAGTGCTCAAGTTTACGACTTCCCTGGCACAAATTATCATCATAACATGTGGATATGTTGCTCCACACCTGTTGTTTCTTTATTTGTAACTTTCAATCAATGACAAATATCAACTGCCCAATGTACATGAAACACACAGATTGCATATATGAGGAAAAGACGTTAATAACTTAAAACTTAGTAATCCCTAATGTAAAAGTAGAGAAAGACTCTTCTGCAGGCTTGCAGGTCAGTCTGGCTATTAGTTCCCCAGGATGATTAAAAGATTTACTCATTCCCCTTAAAATGTCTGCAGACCTGTAGCAGGGTTGACAATCCAAGGTCGCAAACCCGATCCACGTTACAATATGTTATAATATGTAGTGTTTGACTTACTCACCTGGTGCATCACTGACAACACATTTTTCTGTTTCTCCTGGTTGATGATCTTCTCGCTGCTACCAGACTGCTGTAGTTCAGATACATCAAACCATGACTCAAACACTGCTAAATCATCAAAGATTTCTGGCAGCAAAAAATTAAGTAACGACCACAGCTCAGACAGATTATTCTGAAGCGGAGTGCCCGTCAACAGTAGTCGGTTCCCAGTACGATACTCCTTCAGCTCTCTGCCCAAACAAAAAAATGTCAACCGTTACTCAATGTTTTCCACAAAGAGAAAAATGCTGCATTAAATTGAGGAAAATATAATTACATGGAAGATATACAGTGCAAATACTGCACATGAAAGGGGAACAAATATAAAAAATGAAGACAAATCATCAGTTAATGTTTCCTACAAATAAAAGCATTTAATATTGAAGTGGGGAAAATATGAATACAGTGAGCTCTTGATATTCATCAACTCTAAGCTGCATCGTTTCTTATATATATATGACATTCAGAGCTCGGATTATTTTCATATCTGGCAGCCAGGTAAATATTCTGGTCGCCAGAAAAAACACCAAATTTATAAGGGATTATGGCACTCGGAAACTCTCGAACACTGGAATAATCCAACGAGCCAAAAGAAACTGATTCTGATGCCATAACTCTCAGCAGTAGCAAATGGTAGCAGGTAAATATCGTGCCGAACTGCATGGGATATCAGCTGTGAAGTGAAATGTTATGGTATACATCTTTGGTTCTCATCCAATAACTCAGCAGTGTCAGTTTACCAGGAACACTCCTAGTGAGAGGTTTGCATATCAGTTCTGTGCCACCTGCGGCTTAGTTACTTCATTTCTACAACAAACTGAGTGCCCACGTCTTAGAGCCAAATAATAATGCTATGAGGCCAAGAGTAGTCCCCATTATGAAAAATAAATTGAAAATGACTGTTGATTCTGAAGATGGCAAACAAGCAGTCAGTATCAGATGTGAACAATACTGCCTGTACCAGTAAAAACAACTGTAGCTTATGAAAATATAAGAATGTTACAAAATTAGCAGTGCCTGGCCCAATTAAATGTTAGAGAACCAGAGACAATTTTTTTTTTTGAGAAGTTTATTACTGATTTGGATTTTTGAAAATATTAAGGGTAGTCTTCATTGGTGTATATTTTAGTGCTCAAGTTTACGACTTCCCTTGAGTAAGACACTAAACTAACCCCCCCTGGGGGGGGGGGTCAGTTTAGTGTCTTACTCAAAATTTTAAAACGCAATCATCTCCCTCGAAGGGGGGCTGATTGCGTTTTAAAAAGTGGTCAAGTGTTTAACCCCCCATTCGGGGGGGGGGGGGGGGGGGGTGT